AAAGCAATGAATGCAATGTAGGGAAGCATCTTGCCTGTTGTCCTTCTCCTCTTGGATAGTTTGCAGGGAGTTTCTAACTGATATTTATACCTGAAAACCTTGCAGAACACACCCCTCTCCTCTCCTCATTTACAGGAAAGTGAGATTCCGGACAGGAATGTCTTCAAACCTGCCTCTCAGCATTTTAATTTAAATAGTTTTTTTGTATTTTTTCCTTTATCTTTTTACTTTTGAATTTTGAATTTGAGACAGTATTACAAATGAAGACGTCTCTGAATGTCTTTGCTGTTCTGTCTTCATCATGAAGTACCAAGTTCATGATGGGACTATTGATAATAATAATAGTAGTACACTGTATGTACGTTCTGTATTTTATATTTATTTATTTTTTTGTAACTTTCTGGGAGCAAAAGCATTGTTCCCAATTATTGTGCAATTAAAAAAGAGGTTTATTTAAAACATTCCAGGCACCACAATTGAAACTTACAAATATGCTAAGAAAAGAGATCTTAGTGAAGTAACCCAAAATTGTGTGTCTAACTAAGTACAGTTTAGGGATGTTTTAAAGGCAGACTGGTCTAGTGTATTGGAAGGAAGATTAAATGAACAGGTGAGAAACTACAAACCAGCTGTTAATTCAAGCTAAAATCGATCATTAGAACAACTAATATGTGGACTGCCTTCTCTTTTTGTCAATGACTGGGAAACTGAGGGCGCTGAAGCAGGGCAATTGGAGAGAGTCTCTTGCAATATTGAGTGAGAATAAGAGCCACAGATGACAAAGATAAGGGTGCACAAACCAGAGAAGAGCCAGCAATGTAGACACTATTGTTCCATTCCTGCAGGTAGCAGCTTCCCTAAGTGAAAGCTGTTTGTAGTAATCTGAGCTGCTAAGGCCAGATCAAGAATTATGGATATGCCCATGTAGTCTTCCAATTCGTGCTGGCACTGTGCAGCACAAGACAGCGCAGTATACAAGAGGAATGAATGATGAAATGGGATGGGAGGTGCAGAGTTGGGGAGGGGCAGTGGAGCCGTTTGGGGGAACAGGATTCTGGTGGGCTGGGCGGTAACAGATTGAGGGAGAAAATTGGGGACTGACCCAGGACTGATAACTCTCAAGGGGCAAAGGGGATCTTTTCAAGATGGAAAAATGTTCAAATTTGGCATGCTGGCTGAGTAAAGAGTGGGTGTCCGATTAAGGTGGGCCTTAAGGTGAAATTTCATTTTCCAGACCTGGAAAAGATTTGAAAAATGATCAAATATCCATTAAGTGTCGGAAAACTCCTGGATTTTTTTTTTAATTGACCCAAAATGGTCATGGCTGTATAATGTAATTTTGTTCATAAGTTAGCGAACTTTTAAAGAGAGGCTGTGGCGTCAGACCCTCTTACAGGACTTTTATAACGAGCTGTAAGTTAGCCTAGCACCCATGTCAAATCGCGGGGTAATTGTGTTTTCAGTGACCTCTGGTTAACAGATGAAAGATACAAGATATGGCTCCAAAAAGATGAAGACCCAGGACGTGTGAGAATTATGCGGGAAAAGAAGTTATGAGAAAGTCATGGAAAAGTTTTGGAATTTTGTTGGTAAAAATGAGTGGGGAACCCTAATGCAAGCTACTATACAGTATATTCACATTCTGCAACATTCATTGATCTTGAACACAAAGACCATTTGTCAAATAAAACAAGTATCTTTATTTTAGTCATTATTGCATTTCAATAAATATATTTACTGCAGGCTTACAAGAGTATTGAAGTTGAAACATTCAGTATAGGGCATTTCATTCTGAATTCTTGAAATACCGCATGCTTGATGAAAACTTCAAAGAATTATGAAGCTGTCATCTTAAGAATTTCAGCTCTGTACTGAATGTGCCATACTATGAGGAAATAAGTGTAGAACAATGACATAGATTCTTAGAACTACACGTGCATCTTCAAACTTTCTTTACAGAAAATTAATGTATTAAAGGGGATTACCACAGGAACTGAACAGGCAGGTATTTCCAGGACACATTGGTTTACTATGACACAGGGCACCTTAGCAAAATAATAGATCTCTCCACTTGTCTCAGTCTTTTTATTTAAGTTTTCCTGCATATTATTGTTGTTGGTTTCTATGTACTGTATTTTTATAACATTCTAGACATTAGTAGGAATATTATTTGTAGATTCGCTCTGTCTATATTATCCTTTTTAATTTTCCAGTCTGGGAGACTTCCAGTAATTTGTAATAAGTGTATTTACTTTGTATTTTCCATTAGTACATTCTTGTGAATTGTTCTACAACTACTGACGTAGAAGTGGAGGAGGTGAAAATTGAAATGAGAAAATGTGAATTCAAACATCAGCTAAATTGATGACATCACTCACATCTTCAAAATAAAATACAAAGTAGCTTTGGAATCCATTCACCGATTGATTCTAAAAATTATTATAGTTGAACACCATGCAGCCAGCACCTCAGCAATCTGTCTCAAAGTGCCTGGCATAACATGAAGTCCTCCTGTCACTCTACTTTTGTAATAATATAATTCCTTACATTTATATAGCATTTTTCTGGACACTCCACTCAAACCACTTTAAGGTAACCTCTTCCAGGAACAACCTTAGTTTGTCCCAGGAGGTCTCCATCCACATACTGACCTGGCTCACACCTGCTGAGCTTCAGTGGGCTGTCATCTGTGAGCTGCAGGATGATATGGCTGCTGGCATGATAGTCCTGCCTCTGTTGTTTGTAGACCATGTGCAGATGGGAAGTAAAGACAGAGTAGAAGAACAAAGTAATGTAGCCAATTCATAGAGGGGGGGTTATTAGGAGGCATGGGAAATTTGTTCAGGACGCCGGGGTTACACCCTTACTCTTATCGAGAGTCATTTACTGTATAGTGTCCATGACCCACACAGACTGCAGCTGACCCTACTGACCCCACTAACCTCTTCTAGGAACAACTTTCCCAGGAGGTCTCTCATCCAGGTACTGATCAGGCTCACACCTGCTTAGCTTCAGTGGGTTGCCAATTGTAAATTGCAGGCTGACATGGCTGCTGGCTATCTTTCACAACAACAACATTACTTTATTATCCCTATACAATTTCTTGCATTAGGAATTCGTCTTTTTGCATACCCCAGCTTGCTCTCCATGAGACACAGACAGGGAGAGAAGCTTGGGGTCAGAGCGCAGGGTCAGCTATTGTACAGCACCCCTGGAACAGTTGGGGTTAAGGGCCTTGCTCAGGGGCCCAACGGAGTAGGATTCCTCTGCTGGCTGTGGGATTTGAACCGCCAACCTTCCAGCCACAGGCGCAGATCCTTAGTCACAGAGCCACCGCTCCATGGCCCACAGTTGCTCCCACTCAGAAGGAACGAGTACATCCAGTACTATACGATTCCCACTTCTGTGCCCTGCTGCTCATAATATAACCCTGTCTATGGCTCTCAAGCAAGGATGCTATTTTTTTCTCCCATCTCTTGTGGAGACAAAATCTCCTTATTATACAATTATAATCCCATACCGAATAGAATTGGAGTTGGAGCTGTGGATTCAACAGGGCTTCTCAGAACTCTGCAAGTTCACACCACAGACCTCATAGGAAACTGTGGGCATCAATTACATCAACAATGTTGAAGAATACTGGACCAGCTCTCCTGCAGGGAGCATCAAACTGTCTGTGACCATTCGTGCTCTCAGTAGAGCATCACTCAAGAGACAAACCTGTTTTTTAAGAACTGTTTTCATTTTTCAGATAAAATTGTTTCACTTTCTCTTACCTATGGTCT